GGCTCTCACGCCGGCGCCCTCAAAGCCAAACGCGCGCGGCTTCTCAGAGCAAAAGCCCCTCCCAAATTTTACTTGCATTCCTGTTCTCTAAAGGGGCGGTCCTAGGGTTTGATGAGGGCGTGGCCAGGTTTGGGTGGGGGCGTGGCCAGGGGAGGGAGGTGAGTTCCACCACCTTTTCTCTGAGAAAAAAAGCCCTGGAAACGAGATACTCATATTAAAGGTATAGCAGGCTAGACCTGATACAAACTAGTGAGGTTTAGAATACAGATACTGTTTTCCATAATGAATTTAACCTTGGTAACTATAAAATTCTAAAAAAAAAATGAGTACGGTAAAATGAGTGAATGATAGATACTGTAATGTTCCAAATCTGAATGATAGTCCAAATGTCTATACAGCTAGTTTGAAATATTTGCAAATTTGATTGCAGGAAAGAGGCGTTAAGACTTTTTGTACACAATGGGAGCTAAAGGTAGATTATCATTTTTGAAATGTTTAGAAAGCTTTCATTTTTAAAAAACAAATCTTGACAAAATTGGTACATATTGGTTCCAATATAACAGTTGAAGTCATACGTTTTTAACAGCATGGACTAAAAATGAAACTAAAATTAGATGTGTGTGACTATATTTACCTTAACATTGTTGGATACAACTACCATACAGGTAGTTCTCAACTTACAATTGGTCATTTAATGACAGCTTCAGGAAGAAAATTTTACAAGCGGTAGAGCATTTCTGGCATAAAATGTTGTCGTCCCCCCCCCCCCGTCACAGTCACATGACCACATTCAGCAGCTTAGTAACTGGTTCCTGTTTACATCTGATTGCAGTGTCCTGCAGTCGCATGACTGTGATTTGTGACATTTTGTACTGGTTTCTGGCAAAAAATGCCCATTCTGGAGAATGGGTTCAGACTGATGACTGTTGTAAAAACAGTCATAGAATTGGATCTGGTCACAAGGGTGCCTCAATTTACAGCCACCAAGGAATTTCAGCTGGTGGAATCCAGAAGAAGATCCTTTTCTGCCATGGCTCCAGCCCTTTGGAACATCTTGTTAAAGGAGATGAGATCCATCCCCTCTTTTTTAGCCTTTAGGAAAGCCTTAAAACTTTGTTACGTTGGCTTGGAGTCCTGAAGGAGAAGCTCATTTGGCTGGAGGTGGTTGGTGCAGCAATAGAAGATACCATCATCTCTCTGCTCCAAATTTAGGGTTTTTAATTAGTTTGATTTTTTTTTAAATTGTAACCTTTTTATGTGTAGAATTGTTCTTGTATTTGCATATTTTTATCATTTTGTAAGCTGCTCAGAGCCACCTCAATTCATTAGGCAGTTTAATAAATGAATAAAAATAAAACAACAAAAATTCCAGTCCCAATTGTGGCTGTTAAGTCGAGGTCTACCTGTAGTTCAAAACATTTGAATTTGTAGCCTATATTTGGGAGAACAGAGAGCCAAACATAATTTCTTTCTCTACCTGGTTTTCTTAATATGTAAGAAAAGGCACTATGCAAAATCATATAAGTAATTTCTGAAGAGAAATCTTAGAGTTATTATGGAAGCCTAGGAACAATGTCAATCCAGTGTGTATACTACTTGCTATAAAAATAAGGCAAAAGCCATGCTTACTGTAATTAGGGAGTTAAAAATAGACCTGTTGATAAAATAATGCTGTTATAACAAACAAGCTAAATGTGTTAGATACAGTTCTCATAACTGTATCTTAAGCATTATAACTAGAAAATGATTGAAAAGGGTTGATTAGAAAGATTAGGAGGCTCAAGTAACTACTATCAAGAAGCACTACAGCAATTGGGCCTCTTCAATTTGTAACAAAGGAAGATAAGGGAAATACATGGTAGAAGGGGGTGACAAGGAGACTGATGACATTTTTTCCTTCTGTCACAATGTTAGAATCCATTTTATTCCACTGAAGCTGGAAATAGGAAGATTCTAGTCCACTGGAAGAAAATGCCTTTTCACACAATGCCTAGTTAGAATTTGTAGTTAGCAAGCTAACAATTTGGATTGGTTTAAAGGGAGATTGGACAGATTCACAGAAGATCAGGCTATCAGTGACTACTGATATTGACCACTGTAATCTGGTCTATATGGTCATATGCATACTCATACCTCAGAAATAATGATGGAATTCCTTAAAAAGATGATTTCTCTCTGAAATGATTGTCAGTTGCTGAACATTGTTGTTCATGTAATACTACAGTGATGAAAAGGATGTTAAATTAGTTGAAAATATATTTTTGCAGGTATACTTTCTGTCCAATATTTTCAGGAAATCCATAATTAAAATGCAAGCTTCATTTGTTAATTTGCCATAGTGAGAGAATTGCACAGCTTGTATTTAATGTTTCCAGTTGTTGTTGGGGGGAGGGGGCTAGTCAGTTCATTTTGAC